TTATGGATTGTTACAGCATAGGCTGGACGTGATGGAAATTGGCGTCTAATTTCGCCTTTGTAGTTTATATGAGTGCTCTCATATCTTTCAATAGCAATGCTGCCGCGTGGTATACCAGTAGGTAAGCAAAGTTTTGGATTATTTGATCGCACTTTGGGGTTGTCAAAATGCACATAAATCTTAATTGGCATATTGTTGTTATCTTGTTCAATAAAGGTTACTGAACCAAACTATCGTTTATCATCCCCGTCGAAACATCCAAATTGACAACCAACATAACTTTGGTATCTATGCCTACTATTAATAAATCAACAAGGGGGTGCCAGTAACCTTTCCACAACAATCCAATTGAGTCATTTGTCCTGATCGTGCATCTTTCGTGTAATCCAGTGCTTTAATTTGGATGTTATCAAGACATTTCTCAGATATCATCTTAGCGTTGTATTTATTTACTTGGTCATTTGTTGAATATATATGCAAACAGTCATCATCGATATTAGTAACTCTACTCTGCAGTAACGCAACATCAGATTCCAACATTTTATCGCTTTATTTTCTCTGCCTTATCCTACTTAATAGTTGTGCAAATATGAGATCGTCTTTTTGATGCATAATTTCCGTCAGTTAACAAGCTTAAAGGTCCCAGTCCAAATGTCTATTACATTGTCATGACATTAAATAGATGCTTTAACTGGTTTAAGTTTCCACATGTCACCAAAACACAGACATTGCCAAACAATTCATCGATATTTGTACCTTTAATCTGAACCAATCTTCCGTGAATGTAGCACAATAGTTTAAGATCAACAATTGAAATCTCTTCAATTATCAAAATTTGAGAATTACATCTAACGGCTGATAAGGTAATTTTAAATTTTTTCGAATGGAGAAACAAGGTGATGGTAAAATAACAACTAATGTTCCTCTTGATCTTTACAGTTTAAAGTTTATTCCTTTCACACGATTTCTCTACACTCAGACCTCAAACAATAACTAGATACGACAAATAGTATATGTTTGTTTCGTTCTCATTTAACCACCAGTTCCAATTCCGAAATCCATGATCATACCCAACTCAACGTTTCCCTTTTTAAATAATTTCTTTATCTCTGGAAATGTCCAAAGGTTAGCTATTAAATGTTGCCGGAATACAATTGGTCGAAACTAGGGTGACACAATGAGTAAGGTACTTTTTTGTTAGCTATTAAGTAATGTTTGACTGATAACAGTGATCAAGGTCAAAGGGTGTAGAGAAGTCGGTAAGAACATAGATTACATACATTCAATACAAAATAATAATAATATAATAATATCAATATGCACCTTACTGCAGACTTTGTTACATATCAATATGCACCTTACTGCAGACTTTGTTACATATCAATATGCACCTTACTGCAGACTTTGTTACACTACTATGAATCGTAGAGGCTCAAATGTTAAAAGCAGAAACGTCAGTTGGAGCAGTTAATAAAACAGTTAAGTCTTCCAAGTTTTCTTACGGTTTTGATAAAATTCTAGAACATTCGTTATTTGAATTAAGATGCGATTTACCTGTACCTGCAGAACCGGTGACGAAAAATCTCAAAGTCTCGGGATTTTTACCGTGGACTTAGTCCAGACAATACTGACATATCTTATAAAATATTTGTGATTGGATATCGTTTAAAGATCGTAAGAGTGACAAAGTTTCTTTCATAGATATGCCACTGAATATTTTCCTTATTGGAGGTTATAAGTTCTGGAATCTGGGGCTCTTCAAAGTCATCATAGTAGTTAACAGAGTACTTTATGAAAAGAATCAAACAATAGCCAGAGAACAATGGGGATCGATAAATAGAACAATGGCTTGACGAGGAACAAAGGACTCGAAACAATGGTGCCAAAAAGAACAAAGAATCCTGGAAATGAGACAATGCGGTGCCAATATTGGTAAAGGTACCAGGTGTGGCATCGGTCATTGTCTTAAACAAACGCGCGTGTCGGTGCATTGTTTTAAACGTGGCATGAAGGTGTTTCTTAAACGATGGAATACGTTACCATTGTTTTTAAATTTAAATCTTTAAACGAGTTCTGATGATTTACTTCCTATTAAACCGTCTGTAATTTTTTAACCTCCCATATATTAGCTTACACCAAATTAACCCCTCTGGTTATAGTTTGGTCAATGGATAGTACAACTCTCATTCACTCACGTTGAGGTGAAAAGTGGTCTATTCAGCCAAGTATTCGGATCCTTTTTGTGTCCTTTTTGTTCGCTGTACATTTATTGCTAATTCCACTCTCGCTTTATGTGTTGTTCGACGTAAAGAATGCTATAACATATCCTTTCGTAAGCAACAAGTAATATATAGAAAAAAAAACTGTACGACTGTTATCGAAAATATGACAATTTTTTGTCTCTTTGAAACAAGAGATGTCATTTTTTTGGTTTGTGGTTTTTGGTAGATAGATGGGTGGTACAGTCTGCATTTTCGCGTAAAGTCACAGAATCCTTCCAATGAGCATGTAAATAATCTTCGAAAAGTACTAGAAACTGCACGAAAATCGCGGAATCCATCCAAATATGCCTCAAGCTGGAAATTTTACTTTTATGTTTATTTTTTTTTTTTTGCAACCATTAAATATATATATATATTATTATACAAAAACAAAACAAAAAAATAAAAAAATCATATTATAAACCAAACATATGGCAAAACGTATTTTGTAATTTACAATATTTTACAGAGTTACGTTATTATAGAATAACTAACTACATATAAAAATATAAAAAAAAGTTCAAAATGCATTAATAACGAAAGATGTCAAAACATATTATTAACATACAAAATACAAAGTAAATATGCAAAGGAAAATTTATGATGAAAGAACAATATTATGAATCAAAATAATGTTACAGCAAGGCCCCCCTGTATCCATAGGGAATCTGAACACGTTTATCGTATCTAATGTTTTTGAGCGGTCTTTCATAAAAACGGTGAAATCTCGAGTTCTGTGAAAACTATTCGGATAAGTGACGTAAACAGACATAGACTGATTATTTATCATTTTTAACATTGACTCGAAATTGATTAATTTTGACGTTTCGCTGTTTAAGGTAATTCCCTTAGATTTCACAGTGTAATCGACGATGCCGGTTTTTTGATTCAAAATTTTCAGGGCGTAACTTTTCGGTCCTGTAGAACAGAACTCCACAATGGAAGAATCTGGTGATATCTCGTTGGTAAAATCTCCGAGATATCTTCCACAAGGAATAGGTTCCTCCCCTGGTCGTTGGGTATAGATAATTGAATCCGTGTCAAAATACAAAACGCGCTCATTTAACACGTCCAAATACTTATACGATTCCAAACGACCGTAGGCTGTTGTGATGGACCCTATGGGAACATTTACGTGGGGAGGAATTCTACAGGTCTAGGGGTCGTCACGATACGCCACTAAAACTTTGTTCTCATTCAAAATTTTATTGTTCACCACCGTTTTCTTATGATAGATTAGATCGTAAAATTTTTTAGCAGAGGAAATAACCCATAATTTAGACCGTTCCAATACATTCTCTGCAAATTTTCCCCAGAGGCTGTTTATAGAAAGCTTAGCCAAAAAACGTAAGGAACTATTAAAGACAACCTTTTTCTTGTCTAATTGAAGGAATTCCTCTATAAAACAATCTCTAGCTTTGTTTACAGACTCCCAATCTATATGTGTACAGCCACCCAAAGTATCTAAAAACCACTCGCAAAATTCAAGTAAATAGTTTTCATTGTAAAATACATACTCCCTAACAGGATTCGAAGAGGAACATGCATTACACGGCTCGTTTACAGGGAGAGAAAGGCAATCACCAAAAACTCTGTGAGCATTACAAAGGCAAGGAACGCGTATCTTATATTCATCTAAATACGTTTCGAAATTATAAAATACATAAAGCCTTACCTCTGTTTGATCAGGTTCGAGACGTCGTTAATAGCATTTGTGGTTTGCGAGAACTTTCATGGAGCAGTTGCTGAACTTTTTTTTTCCGCAAACGTGGTCACTGTTACGTTCGATAGTTGCGTAACAAATGCCACATGCAACGAACCTCTTACAGACGGAGCCGTTGTCTTTCATATTTTTGTGATTGTCGAAACATTCTCTCCCTTTAAAAGAACGGTTACAATCCGTGCATTTCTGATTTTTGCCATTCGACATACAAGATGTTTTGCACCTAAAGCAGTGATTCTGGCATTTATGCGTTTTTGTATTGTATGCCTTATGAAATTTACGCCATTCGATGATACCGCAGGAGGTTGCAGCATCGACCCCAGCTTTATTACACAGGTCAAGTGCTCGCATAAGTTGGACAGGGTTTCGTTTGGGTTTTTTTAACGTACAGAAATATTCATCCTTTTCCTCGGGTGTAAGGTTAACTTTATTTCTGTCGCACTCATTAATCCCCAAAATTATTGCCATGGCACAACATATTTTGAGATGATGATCAGTTTTGGCCGGAGCCAAAAGAGTGCGCCCAATTTTGGATTGTAGAAAATCTACATCATACCCTCTACGGGGGTGGGCTCCACCACCCCCACTTCGATGAGGAACGTAGATGAGTGATATTTGGAGCCTATCATCAAAGGTAAACGTTTTACGACTTTACCTTTTCAATAGACGCCAAAAGGTCCCTCATCAATGTAAAAGAGTGAAGGATCGGAATTTGAAACTCGGGGTGCGCAAACCCAATCCTAATCATTTCATCATCCCGTATGTTAAATCTTTCGCTTGCATCTTGAATAATTTGCGTAATGAATTGTTCAAGCCATTGAGTTACGACAGCATTATCATTAATCCTTACTTGCATTATTTCCGTGTAAACGTTAAATTTTGCCGAATACCCTCTCCTCACCGTTTCCAGGATGAATAACTGTTGTTGGTCTTCACCTGTACCACGCTATTAATTATAATAAACAAAACCAGTAAATTATGATAAACGTTTTTTTTTTGTTTTTTTTTAAAACTGATCAAGAAATCTCTGCGAAAGCAGACATTCTATCGAATCTTCTGTGTAAGGGACACCTATTCTTTCGATTAAACTGATGATATTCGGAGGTGTTCGTGAATAACTGTTGTTGTTCTTCACCTGTACCACGCTATTAAAAATAATAAAAAAAAAACCAGTAAATTATGATAAACGTTTTTTTTTTGTTTTTTTTTTTTAAACTGATCAAGAAATCTCTGCTTTCGCAGAGATTCTATCGAATCTTCTGTGTAAGGGACACCTATTCTTTCGATTAAACTGATGATATTCGGAGGTGTTCGTGAATAACTGTTGTTGTTCTTCACCTGTACCACGCTATTAATAATAATAAAAAAAACAGTAAATAATGATAAACGTTTTTTTTTTAAAACTGATCAAGAAATCTCTGCGAAAGCAGACATTCTATCACATCTTCTGTGTAAAGGACACCTATTCTTTCGATTAAACTGATGATATTCGGAGGTGTCCATGACGCCTCATCCTCGATAGGGGCGAAAAACTATAATATTGCCTAAAAATGGCAACGGGGATTTGCTAAAAATAAAATAGAAAATAACGATGTAAACAAAAGTTAATAAAATCGCAATGAAACAAAAGAAAAAAAAAGACGATTGACGTTCAGTATAGTGAAATCTATATTTACCTGTCCAGACAATCTTTCGGGTGCGGCATTACGTGCTCCTTCTTCGTCGCTGGAAATTACTTCAATAAAAGGTGAAGACGGCGGCGGCGTTATTGTCTAGAAAATAAAATGAATCCGTTTTTTAATTTTATTTATTTTTACCATATATATGAAATGAAATGGAGTTTTACGTCCTGCTTTTCTGCATTACCATATATGAAAAACGGAATCGAATTACCTCGTTGTCCGAAAAAAGTTTAGGTGAAAACGGGGACGGTGGGATTACTTCTTGAGAATCATCATATTCATCATCTGAGAGGATAATAATCTTAAAAAGAAAAAATGTACGTTTTTTTTTGTTGTGATAAAATAAATAAGAACATTCAGAATATTGTTTTTAAATTTACACATCGTATATGAAATCGTAGAATAGCGTAATAATAAAAGACGCAAACACAGAATATCCCTACCTCAAATGGTGATTGGGCACTAGGGGGTATCGCTGTTTCGTTGTTGTCGAAATTGTCCATTTCACCCTCGTATGGGCTCGACCACAGCTCATCGTCATCAATTAGTCCCCTTTCGTAGTCCATTAAAGCATTTAAAAGAATTTCATCCTCTCTATCCATATTGTTTGTTTTGTTTTTTGTAATACTAAAAAAGAAAAGAAAAAACAATCGATGCATTCGTTTCGATAATAATAGTAAGGCATGTTAAAGTTCGAAAAGCAAAAGTTAACTCGAAAACATTTCTAAAAAAAATCTGATCGCTTCTAGTAGCGAATTGACCGGAGCTAAATTTTGTTTTAAAGGGTCAATACCTCGGTATTCTACATTAAAAAAAATTTTTTAGTTGAAACTTTCAGAATAAGGAGAAATATTTTCTCTTCAATCTGGAGTTACATTTGCGTAAATCCGAATATTTACCAAACAGAAAAAAACTCCGAACATCTGATTTAAAATAGTTTTAGCGTTTAGAAATTAAGATGTTTTTTTCTTCTTTTTTTTGCGAGTTTTTTCATAATT